TATTTTAAACTGTATAAAAAAAATTGAAATCAATTGTGAAAATCCATTCCTTATATAGGACGTTCCCTCCTGTTTAATCTTTCTTGTCTTTTACAAATTCGAAAAAAAAGCATGTACACAAAATCTGGAAAAGTTTTAGAATCAACATACAACCATGATATAATGGACCCAATAGAAAAATTTATTCTTTGGGACCTATGTGAAATCTCACATCAATGGTAAATGACCCAATAACTTCTTAAAAATAATTTCCTTTGTGAATTAGTCATTTTTTAATTTTGAAATTACTTTTTTTTTAGGGATAGTAGCACAATTCAGGCAACTAAAGTAAGAAATGGGTCTGTTATTGGTCCTAACAGAAAACCAGACATTCATTTTTTTTATGATGGCAAAATACTAGACTGGGAGTTATTATTTGGGGAAATATCATATGGCCCGGAAAATCTGATGTTGCTCAATTAGTTCATATAAATGATGATCACAAGAAATTAATGAAGTTTTGTAGATTCCGTGGGATAACATGTACCGTCATGCTTTTAAAATGGTGGGAGTTATATGGAAATTGAAAACATTGCCATTCATTCATACAGCAAGTACAAACTTTTTGTTTTAAGTTAATTTTTTTTTATCACTTGTGTTTTTAATTGTTTTATAGATTCAATATTAGAAATTTATTTGATTGATCGAAAGTACTTTCCTTTGCATCGTGCGTGATTGATTTGATCGTTTAAGAATTCCATATGATGATTTGAACAATAAAACTTTTTATAAGTCGGTAATGGATATGTTGAAAGCACTATATCTTATACAAAGCATTATAAAGAAAAATCTTGAGTTAATCAAAAGAATAGAAACTTCGTCTTTGAAAATTAACTCAAATTCAGAAGGAATTATTGATATGTTGAAAACATATGATAACGACTAGATTTATAACATAATTAATAATGGAACAGAGCTTTAAATTTTCGTTTATTTAAATAGTGTAATTGCTGAATTCTAAATATTTTTTTCTGTGTTTCGAAAAGGATTAATTCTACATTTTTTACATTCATAAATTAACTTTCAAACTGACATGTAAAAAAACTTCCTTTTCATAATAATAAGATTATATTAATATTGAGCAGGGCTTGTTAATATATTAAAATATAGAAATGACTGTTATTGTTATTATTGTTACAATGTAGAAACTATGCGATTGTTAAAACAAACAAACAATTTTTATCACAGAAGCATTTCTAACCGGTCACAAACACCAACTGCAATATCATCAGTCCATGATTGAAAAAAGGGCGTAATAAAATTCAACATTTGCAGGACATTGCAAATCAAGCGTCATTCAAGTGTTTGGTATTGTGAACTTTTCTTCCATAACATTTTAAATAAATGAAAAAATAAGATATATTGTAACTTGGTTGTGTTACTGGCACATCTGTGTAAATATTTATTCGAGTTGTCAACAATTATTTCCTTGAAAAAAAAGATCATCAAATCATGTATGATAGGTATCAAATCATTTTCTTCATAATCCTCTAAACCCAATTCTATCAAGTTATATATTGGTCTTACATTTGGTAAAATTTTAATGGACTTTCCATGTTAATTTTAAATCTTTAAAATGAAAAAGAAATAAAAGAAAAATAGAAGTATATTATCTATTCTCTGAATAAATTCAATAACAGGATTTTTTTTTGCCTATATTAGTTTCACGAACCTATAATGAGTATTTGTATATGGAAATATTTATTTTGAAAACATAATGAGCAACCTTTTCACTTTGTTCTTTCTTCAAAATACTTCTGATTATACTATAATCCTTGGGTCCCATAGTAGATCTGATCTAAATTAGTTTCATATTAATTATTTTTATATAGGAGTAGTTCTATATATCACTTAAGATAACAAATGGGATATTATAAAACTGTTAAATTATGATTGCATTACAATTGTGATAATAATGATCCCTGAAATTCTTGGTAATACAAATGTTCACTTTGTCTGGTATGCCCCATATGGTACTATTACTATTATATGATGTCGCAATTTTTTTTTTGTAGAAATGTGTATGATAGGTATCAAATCATTTTCTTCATAATCCTCTAAACCCAATTCTATCAAGTTATATATTGGTCTTACATTTGGTAAAATTTTAATGGACTTTCCATGTTAATTTTAAATCTTTAAAATGAAAAAGAAATAAAAGAAAAATAGAAGTATATTATCTATTCTCTGAATAAATTCAATAACAGGATTTTTTTTTGCCTATATTAGTTTCACGAACCTATAATGAGTATTTGTATATGGAAATATTTATTTTGAAAACATAATGAGCAACCTTTTCACTTTGTTCTTTCTTCAAAATACTTCTGATTATACTATAATCCTTGGGTCCCATAGTAGATCTGATCTAAATTAGTTTCATATTAATTATTTTTATATAGGAGTAGTTCTATATATCACTGAAGATAACAAATGGGATATTATAAAACTGATAATTATAATCACATTACAAATGACTAAATTTTGAACCCTGAAATCTTGGTAACACCAATGTTCACTTTGTCTGGTTTTGTTGCAGTATACCCCATTTTAGGCATATATACTATGGATTTTCCGGATATTCTCAATTACACTTAACCTCATAACTAGTTCCATCAAGCAATGTAAGAGTTTTATTTGGGAATTCCACTGGAACTGATACTAATAACGGAGCTA